GTAACTTGCATGTTGGCCTGCTTTCAGCAAGAGGAAGGACAGGCAGTATCACCTGGCAGCGCACCTTGCTGGTTGGTCTGTTAGATGTTGGTGGTACTCATTCCCTCCTATGGTCATGCGGACTACCTGCTGCCCTGTCTCTGACCTGATGGAGCCTGGAGGCAAACATCCTATTATTGCGGCCCAGCTGCTGTTGCTGTGGTATCTACACCCTGTCTGTTGCCCTGGACCCCTTTCTGCTGCAGGTTTATGGAGCATCCAGGTGTACATTCCCATAGTCTGCTCCCACCTCTCAGATGAGTCTGGACTACAGGTATTCAATTCAACTTCCTCAACTTTCATTGTTTAAGTTATTTATGACCAAACTCTTTCCTTAAAAAAATATTTTATTTATTTATTTTTAGAGAGATGGGAAGGGAGGAAGAAAAAAGAGGGAGAAAAACATCGATGTCTGAGAGATACATTGACTATTGCCTCTTGCACGCCCTCAACTTGGGACCTGGCCCCCAACCCAAGCTTGTGCCCTGACTGGGAATTGAACCAGCAGCTCTGGTTTAGCAGGCTGTAGCACAATCCACTGAGCCACACCAGCCAGGGTCAAACTCTTAATCTAGTTTTTAAGCACAACTACTTCCAGGAATTTCTTTTTGAAATGAAAGTCTCCATTCTCACCCAACCATCCAGATACCTCAGAAGCCAACCCTGTATTGGTCATTGGGATTAGTGTTTAATCATTCATCTTTGTGACAGTGAGATAAGAAGAGGACCTGACAGTCTGCTTGGGGAGCAGGGACAATTTATTCCTTCACATTGATTTCTTCTTAATATCTGAGTGGGAAGTTAGACGTTTGCCTCCAAAAGAATATTCTTAAGTTGTTGGGAAATGGGTTACTCAATGTCAGAAAAAAGGATCTCTGCTTGGTTTTTGGAGTTTGGCATTATATAATCCCCAGAGGAGCCAATTTCAAGCCCCTGGCCTGGCAGAGCTGCCTCCACAAGGGCTGAGAAGCACTTTAGTTCCAGGAAGCTGGAGAATTTATGGACCCCTGCGCCCAATCCAACTGAGCAGGAGAGGAGCCAGCCAGGCACAAAACCTGACCGGGCTACAGCTGGGAAGGAGGGATTCCACGAGAGGGAGGGTCAGCTGGAGGGGCTGAGTCATTAGTACAGAGAGTATCTGAAGGGCTCCAGAATTCTCCTTAGGTCTTGGTGGTGATATGAAATTGGGCTTTGATCCTCTGCACAGGGGCAGAGAGAGAAATCTCTGAAAGAGATTTCAATCAGAGGCTAGACTCTGTTTCATGGGAAAGAATTGCAAAGTTCAGAAAGATAAAACAGAAAACTTTTAAAGTTCTCTCTCTTTTTAGCGGATGTGTCTCTGTCTATTGAGATACAAGTTACATGGGATTTAATAGTTAAGAAATCATTGTTTTATTTTCAAGAAGCTGGATAAAAAGATTCAGGACCACTGAACATTTTCTAAAATTTAATGTATGTGGTCTACACAGGGGTGAGGGTGGGAAGGTGGAGGGGGGTGACCGGGCGGGAGGGATTAACCACGGTGCTTAAACGTCAGAGCCCTCAGCCACAGAGAGTCCCCTGCCGGGACCCTGACAGTGTGCTCCCCTTGTCGTATCAAATGACATTCAAGGGCGTTTTGAAAAAAGGGGGGGCATTTTGAGATCTGGCTCAAAGCATACAAAATTAAAGATACATTAAGTCTGAGTTCAGTGTAATATGTCAATTTATTACTTTGCAGGCACTTCTGGTACAGTTATTCTAATGTTTGTATATAGGAATGGCTTTCAAGAATGGCCTTTTTAAAGAATTGATATATAACTCATATACCATAAAATCGACCCTTTTAAAGCTTACAATTCAGTGATTTTTGTATATGCACAAGGTTGTTTGACTATCACAGCTATCTAATTCTAGAATATTTTTGTCATCCCCCAAAAGAAACCTCATTCTCTCCCTTATTACCCCCCATGGAGACAAGCCAGTTTCTAATCTTGTAATCCTCTCATAATCTATTTTTTGTCTTTATGAATTTGCTTATTCTGGATATTTTATATAAATGGAATCATATGTGTGCCTTTTGTGTTGGCTTTTTTCACTTAATACGTTTTTAAGGTTCAACCTGTTGTAGCATGAATTGGTACTTGATTCCCTTTTATGGCTGAAATATTCCATTTTGTTCTCCGTTCATCAGCTGATGGACCTTTGGATTGTTACCTGGAATGGTCTTCCTAACCAACGTGCTAACTCATCCAATATGAAGGTACAAGGCCAGTGGGAGTATCATACTATGAGCACGGCCCAGGGTGCCTGGCGCCAGATGTGAAAGGGTTGTAGGGGAACCAGGTTTGAAGTACATGGAGTCAGAAGTTACCATGCTAAAGGAATGACTAAACCTATTTATTCTCTCTATAGAGAATGATATTATAAAACTCTCAAATAAAGAGACCACCCAATTATTTGCAGCAAAAAAATGTAAAAAACATATTATAGAGGTGTGTCAGGTAGTTAATTAAAATATCTTACTTTTCTGGATTTGGGATATGTTTGGTAATTATCAATTTTTTTCTAAACTTGTAACTTGTGGTTTATTTTATTTTATTTTATTTTTTAATTGTTCCAATACATTTGCCTCCATTTACCTGCCACCACTCTCTCCTGTCCCCCCCTACCTCCCCCCCTTGCACCTTCACCACCTTGGCTTCGTCCATGGATTTTCTCATTTTAAATAAACATTTTTTAATCTAATTTTATATTTGTAATTTTGCATTTTTCCTTAAAGGAGGACCCCCAAATCATATATATATATATATATATGCTAGAAGCCCCTAAAAACCAGGATCCACTCTGCCCTAGGGCAACACTTTCAACCCACTTTCTCCATCATATACTTAGAGCTTGTGTGAAGGATTTCCTCCAGGGAGTTATACAGCAAGCTGCTGATTTTGTTGTTGTCCACTCTTTTCTTTCTCAGCTCAGGAGCACTTTTAGGAGAAACTAGCTCATGAAACACCATCATTAAATCTACAGTACCTTGAAGAGTTGCTGTGATTTAATATTGTTCAGCAAATATTCCCCTCCCTGCTCTACTCTCCTGGGAGGTAAAGTCTACTTCCTTCTTTTTCAGGTAGGGGGCTGCACCATGTGAGTCACTTTGGCCAATGAGATGTGGACAAAGACACCCATGTGACAGTTTGAGCACCAGCTTCAGGAGCTTTGCAGGTTACCCCATTACATCACAAGACTGTAGTCTACCAGTGTGGGTCCTGGAAGAAGACGTGCAGGAGAGACCTGCATCCTGAAAGCCCATATTCACCTGAAAAGGAGACACTGCTGCTGACCTGCAGACCAAGAGTGAAAAACCAGCATTTGTTATTCCGAGCCACTAAGATAGGGGTTCTCAACAAAGTGGAGTTGCAGGAGGAGCTAATGCAGTTGCCCATTTCCAATCTGAACAGAAGATCTAGCATTTATCTTGCAGGAGGCAGCTGAGCTTAGTCTCCAAGCTCAGACCTCCAAGGTCTCTGACAGTAAGTCCAATACCTCACCTTTCCAGGTTTCCGCTTCCTTCCACCTTTCAGGGAAATGCGTTTCTGGGTTAAGGTCATGTCTCCTTTTCCCCTCCTCCCTTCAGCTATAATTTTAAGTACAAATGAAAATTATTTCACTGTTTCCACTCTCTATAATAGCATTTTTGTCATTTCAGTTCAACTCCTTTCAGATGTAGCTAATCACACTTCCCCAACCCCTCAATTTGGCAACCCAATCAAAAATCTAAAAACATCTGGGAACTCTTTGATCAAGTAGTTATACTTTCAGAAATTTAGCCAAAAGAATAATCAGGCAAATATATAGAAATGTATGTACAAGGATGCAAAATATAAGAAACAACCTATATGCCAACCTTAAGGGATAGGTTAAATAAGGTATATATCAATATAATGGAATACTCACACTGCAACTATTAAAAGTGAGTCAGTTAAACTGTGTTTATTGACATAGAGAGGCTTACCAAGCTGAATCAACAGTATAAACTTATTTTGTGAACACAAAATATGTACGTGTAGAAAGATATATGCCAGTTATTCATAGTGGTTATATGTGGTTGCTAGAACTATGGGTGACTTTTATTTCATTGTGCTTATTTTTTCCTCTTTTGCTAACTATATTTCCTAATAGTCTGCAAAAATGTGTTTTACTTTTGTAGAAAAAGTTAAACAAATGTGTTGTTTTTGATCCCACAACTGTTTCAAATGAATAGAGGACCTCTTTTATTTTTCTCTCTCTTTAATTTTTAAATTTATTGCAAATAAATAAACACTCAGGGGTTGGGGATAAATGGAGTTTAACACAAAGAAGATGACATGGATGGTGAGGGAGATGGCTCTGTCCATCAAGGAGAGAGCACAGGTCCAGACCTGCTTGTACAGAGAAAGGGCATGAAATGCAAGGTTACCAGATGTAGGTGGGCAGGGAAACATGCACTTCCCTCTGCACCCTTCCTGTAACAGTTAAGCGGTTTCTGATGAGCTTGGGATTTGCATTTCCTGAGGGAATACAAGTCAACTCAAGATGGAAGCAATGGTCAATCCCTATCCCCGGAGGCCCGTAGGTTCTCTTTAATACAGAGTCCTGGTTGGGGACAAGGGACAGATCCAATTGATAAAATTTTCAGTTCATTATATGTTGCCCATGCAAATCAGGAGTGAGCCATGTTTTGCTGCTCGAGGATCAATTTAGGGAAACTCTTTAAGTTCCTGAGAGGCTAACGTGATATGCAGATGTTCACACAGGAAGCGAGCGAGTCGTGAAATCAGAGTTTGACTTTCAGCGCATATTCTACCCAAGTCATTTCAGTAATTTCTGAGAAGACTGATGACGGTGGCAGCAGTGACAAAATTTAACTCAGAGAAAAACGCCACCCTCAGCTCAAGCATCTGTCTGAGTCATCTGGAACCCCACACAGATAGATGGTCCCTAGAAAAACGGTGGGATGCTTCATGAATTTGCCTGTCATCCTTGTGCAGGGGCATGGTAATCTCTGACCCGGTCCAATTTTAATACTTGCATTGCCGAAGTGAGCGCAAGAGGACCGCTTATTGGCGACCATGGCATGAGCTCTCTACCTCTTCTAGGGAAGGGGCGATCCCAAGTTCAATGTTCCCATCTGAAGCAAGCGATGTAAAGAAATAAAATCAATAAAGTGAAAATGATAAAATACAGGAAGGGAGATATCACAGCAAAATGTTAAAATTGTTAAACAATCAGGTGAAAGAGGTCACACAGTAAGCCTGTTCAAACAATGGAGGTTAGACTGGCAGTGGAGAAGAGAGCTGCACTTTTGGGGCACTTCTAGTGGGGCTGAGCAACCCTACTGGAGAGCCACAGGCCCTTGGGCTTGATCCCATGGAACAGAGGAGGTAAACTAGTGGAGTGCTGGAGGAGCCAATTGCATGCGTCTCGTCTTGACGAATTCATTGAAATCAGCTATGGTGCAAGTATTTACACCGTAAAAATCAGCAAATGCTATAAATCAGGGATCTTATCCTCAGAGAACTGGTTGTAAATGTTTACCAGCACATCGCTGAGACAAACCATATACTCTTTCAGGGAAAAATCTAGGGACTGTCAAGACGTCCTGGTAGAAGTTCAAAAACATACAAATCCTTCCCAAATCACTTCACCTCACTACCCTGCCCTACCCACCACAGTGCCCCAGGGCTCTCAAAAAACCCACCTCCCGAACACTGGCTTGTTATGCCCAAGCAGGAAGTCCCCAAGGGTCAATTAGGCCTGAAAACAGGGTACATTCTCAAGGAGAGCAAAAGAATGAATAAAAATTTGACTCCTGCCATGCACAGAGCATGCTATGTCTAAGCACAAAGTGAAACTTAAACTATCCCTTTGAACGTACAAGGAAGATATAAAGGAAATTAAAAAGGTCTTTAATGGCACTTGAACTTGTAGAAGAGCAAATCTAACTTCCTTTATACTTTTTTCTCTGACATCTGCAGCTCTGTCTTGAGTAGAATTGCAGATGGTCTTTTGTTACTTTTTTTTTTTAAATGTCTGGAGAAATAGCTCCTCTTTCAAAGTAGAATTATTAAAATAATTCCAGGTAAGATGTAAAATCTTCCACTTTTCCCAAGCCAGCAATTCTTTCTGCATTATCATAAATTCTCCAGTGCAGCTCCTTCCCTCCCCTGGCTGTACTCTTACAATAATGTGGCTTCAAGGGATGGATTCCTTCTCACTGGGTTTCTATGGGACAAAAAGGCAAGAAGTTGGGGACGAGAGAGTGATAGACAGCTCCATCGAAATGACATACAATTTCATTGTCTACTTTACACAGTTGTCATTTTTTATGTTGTTGTCTCTCAGTCTTGTATCTATGTATGATGGGTTGGTGCTGTCTGTGATATCCCTTTAAGAACAATTAAAAGTTTAATTAAATGGCAATAATATATAGAGAGGAATGAAAAAGGAAAGCTCCAGATCCTGAGCATTTAAAAAAAAAAACAAAACCTCTGTAATTTGGTGAAAAATAATGATTCAATATTTCCATTATAAAAGCATCCGTGCATATTAAAGAAAATTTAATGGACACATAGGAAATAATAGGAATCCCCAGAGTCCCATCATCCAGCCACGATGGCTGTTTACATTTTGACTGGATTGTCTCTAACATCTGCGTGTGTGTGCGCGCGCACGTGCACTTCATCAGATCTACAGCAGAAGATGCAAATGGGTAACCACTGGTCCAAAAAAGTCTGTCATGTCTTATTTGGCCCATGCAATATATTTATAATTTAAATTAGACTTTAACATGCAAAAAGAAAATCCAGATTTAAAAGTTTTCTTGAAAAACTGAACCTGCCACCCAAAATGGCAGGAGCTGAAGGGAGGCTGCCACCCTTAGAAGAGGCAGGTGCCTGACAGTTTGAAAACTGTTCCAATGCAGTTTTTTAAAAAAAAATTTTTCCTTATGCTGCCAGTTTGGCTCCTGTATGTGTTTTAAGTTTGATGCCCTTGATGTGAAGTTTCGGGGCTTTTTAAATAATTGCACTCATTTGGTATATACAGTTTTAGGCTCAGCTCTTTTCTTTAGGCAATACATCATTACCCTTTCTGTATGTTTTCTCCAGTGTACATACAGTTGTACATATAAAGTACGTAAACATATAAAGAGGAAAGTATTATTTGGAATATTTCCTTCCAAATTCTTTAATGCAAATCTCCTTTTTAATAGAGGGAATCATACTGTAATACAATTTTCACTTTTCCTTGTATTATAAATACCTGCACTCCTTATCAGCTACATGAAGCTTAGTTAGACTACATGACTTAGTCTTCCCTCCAGGGCTGAATATTTAGGTGTTCCTTTTTCTGTCATAAATGAATATTTTTGTGCTGAAAGCCTTTTTTTATTATTATTAAAGATTCTTATGCTAGGATATATTAGTAGAAATTGGCTATGCAGTTAAAGGATACAAGAAATTTTAAGGCTCTTGGTGCGTGTTGTCAAGTTATATCCCAACAGGGCTACCCAGTGTTCTGATTTGCACACTCACTATGTGAGAATATGTTTCCTGACAGCTTACATAACATTAAATATAATATACGTTACTGATTTGATACAGAAACATGGTAGCTTTTGGTTTTAATTTGCATTCTTCTTCTCCCCAAGAACCCAAGTTTGTCTTTTGAAAAGAGAAGAACACCAAGGAAAGAGAACCCCTAATTGCAAAGGCAGCTGTGGGACAGCCAGGGCAACGAAGATGGGGACAAGTGTGAAAGGCAGAAACCCAGAAATCCCCAGTGGACGCAGAAGGAGCCAGGAACAGGGGCAGCATGAAGACGGGGCGAGGCAAAGGGGTGAAGGCATGAGAATCAGCTCTGAGAAGACCAGAAAGGCTTAGACAACTGCCTATGACCCAGACCTCAGGGCTGAAGCCCTCAAGAGCTAAATCCACAGGAAACTGATTTTTTCGTGTTCTAGTGTGTTGTGTTTTCAGGTCCAAAGTCATAATGAGGCCAGTAGTCTTGGGACCACTTTAAATTTTCCACCACAGGTAATTTCTCCATTTCTTTATCCTTCTTCCCAAATCACCTTACCAGTTTAAAATCCTTCCTGAGAAAGGATTTGTCCAGGACTTAGCGCTCTGAGTCCAAATCATTTACTTAACTCACAGAGGCATGTAACCAAACTAGAAACCAGGTACTACCACTGACGTGGACTGTGGAGCCTGAATGAACATCACCCAGGACAGGAAGGAGAAGTCAACGTGGCCAATCAGAATTCAGAGCCAAGGGCAACATAGGGAGTGGCTGGTGCTCACTGCCTGGAGCTATTTATTATTAAAACAGAATAAAAAAATCTTTTCATATTTTTTTCTGTGAACATTTAATAAAGGCAAAGTTTGAAGGGAAAAGGGAAATATGAAAATATGAAACCTCATATGAATAAATAAATATACTTAGTTATAGTAATCTCTAATCAAACTTGAAGGGATCAGTTGTTTCTAGATTTAATTTGAACTTTATTTCGTTAAAGGCATTTTTATTAGCTTCCTCTTTTGGGCTTTAGGATTTGACTCTAGTGATCTTGCTGCCTACAATACTGAGAGGGAGGAGCATCAAAGTTATAATTGTTCCTAGCTCACAATATATTAATATAAGTATTGATCTCTACACTAAGGATCAAAACTTGCCAAATTTAGCCTATTTTTGTACAGTTTGCAAGCTAAGGATGGCTTTTAGATGTTTAAGTGGCCAGAAAAAAAATCAAAAGGGAAATATTTTGTGACATGTAAAAATTATATGAAATTCAAAATTCAAATATGAAGTCCATAAATTCAGCTGTTTTGGAACGCAGCCATGCCCATTTGCTTATGTATTGTCTACAGCTGTTTGGTTTCTTCTCCTTCTCCTTTTCCTCTTTTTCCTCCTCCTCCTCCTTCTTCTCTTCGCCATAGTGACCAAATTGAGTAGTTGCAACAGCGACCGTAAGCCTTGCAAAACCTAAAATATTTACTCTCAAGCCCTTTACCGAAAAAGTTTGCTGACTGCTGCTATTTGTATTTACATACATAGCTTTAACCAATTTTATACCCTTGCCAACGGCTTCTATCAACAGTAGAAGATAAGAGAGATGTACAACCTGACTTGAAGTCAAGTATTGAACTTCTGTTGGCCAAATTTGTAGATGCCACTAAATCAGACGGGATGAGGAGGGAGTTGTTAATCTAGTGTCAGAAAAAGAATGAAAGATGAACAGGATAAGCGATTAAGTTGAAGTGGGCTTTTAGGGTCTAAATGGAATGCTGCATGTCCAGAAGGAGGAAAGCCTGAGGCAGAGGATGGCGTTAACATTCTGAACAATGTCAAATTGTAGTGTGGAACAACATCACTTTCTCAAGAGAAGTGAATATGGACAAGCTTTTGCATGGAAAATGGTCAAGTCAACTGTTGTGTGTAAACTGGGGAGTAAAGAAGCAGCAGCTCTGATACCGTAGAGGCAGGACTGGATATAAAACAGAAGGCTTAGTCCTTAGTGGCCGGCCTTGCCACTTACTAGCCATGGACTTGAATCTATCGAAGCTTCTTTATCTGATTAATAGAAATAATACCTCCTTAAGTAATTCTTGAAGGAACTAAATAAGGTAATACTAAAAGAGCTTTGCAAACCCTGAAACACAGACAGATGTGGGACCATGTTATTGCTAGAAAGCCCAGCTGTAACAACGACTATTCTCGAAGACTGAAAAATATTCCATACAGTGTCTTAGGGCTTGTGCACTGCACAATGGGTTGCAGCCAAGTAGGCCAGTGGGGGCTTGCCAAGCTGCCCTGGCTGAGGCTGAATTCATCAGGAAAAGGAGGGTTCTTTTTCTCACGCTGAGGCATCTCCTGCTTATCAAAACGTGCACCCACCCAGAGGATGTACATTTCCACATTCATTCTTATAAAGGTGCTATTTAGGTTTCCCATATTTACATGTCAATATACAGCAGCATTGTATACTTCAACAGTGGTCAAGGGATGATGCTATATAGTTATTTTCCATCTTCCTCAGAAGAGAGAAT